TAGAGGTCCCTTCCAACCTTAAAAATTCTGTGAATCTGTGAATCTGTGAGATAGTTTGTGATTCTTCACAGAATAGTTGGTGCAGAAATACCTGTAAAGCCTTCAAAGACATACAGTGTTCACTTCTGCCTCCGCTTTCCTTCTCCTTATAGAAACATTTCTGTTATGTAGCAAAGCCTCTGAGTAACTTAATGGGTTAAAGGAAACTCTGCTTGTAGATTCTGAAGGGGGCAACCTCACTGTTTCAGGTCTGAGGATTGATACGAATATTTCTGGATGAATTATTCATTTGCTTTTACAAGATGTACAGAACTAGGGMGAAAAGACAAAGTCTTATTAACAAGAATAATACTTAAAACTGTTGGTCCATGACTCCACACTCAGGTAACTTTCCTAGTGGATTCTATTAGATCTGTTAGTAAATACAGACCTACTTGTTCTGCTCTTTTTAGTTTATGTTTGTAAAATACCTTTAATGGTACTGAAACTGGAGTAAAGGATGAGGTGCTGGCTTGTTTTCTTCTCCAGAAATAGTGATTATTCACAGTTCTGAGTTTGGCGTAACACACTTACTCCAGGGGGAAAACTCTCAGCGTTAAGTACCCAGYCCTGGCTTGTAGTATGGGGGTTGAGGCTGAAAATCCTTGAATCTACTGAAGTAAGGTTTAATATGTGTGTATGCACGTGTGTGTATGTGTACCTATAAGTCTGGCATTTGAAGGGGGGGTTCAGAGCCTTCCCCTAATTGCAAGCAGAATAAATGGGTTTCTTTCCYGCTCAGCGGTAACTGTATCAAGTCCATGTGCTTTTTGCTGCTAACTTGTTTCTGAGCTCATTCCCAGACCTTGTATCTTTTGTCTTGCTTTTTTTTTCCTTCTGTTTGTTGGTGAGAGAAGTGTCTTGCAGAAAGCACAACTGCATTTTGGAAAATAAAACCCCAGTGAGGGCTTTAAATATATATAAATATTTTAGTAGTTTGGTTAAACATCTAAGCAGTATAAAACCATCATGCCCAGCAGAGAGTGACCTTTCCATAACATATAATGATAAAAATGTAGTCATGACTTAATTATAAAAAAATTTTACTGATTAAATACATTTTTAATTTACAGTGGTACCATAACAAACATAATGGACTTGCAGAGCTTTACTTAGGACACTGTTACTTGCATGTGAAACAGAGCTTTCCTCCTGAAGGCATTTCCAGGGGTTGGGTCAAACCATAGAAGCCTGGAGTACATCAGAGCCATCTCTATCCTAACAATGTATGGGGTCTAGCGGAATTTCAAGGATATATTTGAGATCTGCTGCTATGCTGCAGTTAGCATTTGTGACCTAGTTTCTAGATTTCTATAAATCAGGTAGCATATGTTTTCTGTAAGAGCCAGTTAACTTCCTTGCATTTAAACAAAACTAAATGGATTTTAGCCGCCTGCAGTGATGCAGGCAGCCCTCAGAGGGCACTCCCTGCTCCCACTGCCGGCTTTGCTGCTCTCCTAGCCCAGCACAGAGGGGAGAGGATTGAATAAATTGGATTGACTAAAGCACAGCCACTGATCTATGGCCAGGCACAGACCTTCAACATCTAACTTAAGTTACAAAAACAACCCATTGATACACAACTATAAAAATAGGGGGAGAGGAAATTGAAAAAATACAAAAATTTAATTCTACTGTAAGACTTGTATCAAAATTTAAAAAAAAACTGCCAGACAAAAAGTAAGTAAACATCATACACTTAACCTCCACCTMCCTCCACCCTGGTTACGGCTTCGGGGGACCTGGGTGTCCTGTCCTTTATTTTTTGCTCTTCCCTCCCGAGCTTGCCCGCGCTTTGCCAAGGGCTTCTGCAGGGCTCCTGAGGAGGAGCTACTGGACGCCCGTGGCTGAGCAGGCTGGGAGGGCTCGTGGCAGCCAGCTCTGCTTGCTCAGAGTCCTCCAGGAGGAAACGGATGTTAGCACTGAAGAAATGACAGGAACCTTTGGCCTTTCCTGGCAGGAAGGCTTGGGCGCAGGAAGGGTTGTCCTTGGACATGGGTTTGAGCTTCATTCCATGGGGTTAAGGCCAGGCTTGCTGGTAAGGCAGAGCAGGAATTGCTGGCTATGCTGCTGACTTGCCAGCTTTCTGGAATAGCACAGGCTTGGTCACTCTAACGAGTAAAAAGCCAATTCTCAGCTCACTAAAGCTCCCTGTGATCCTCATTCCCCACGCAGGGGAGCAGGTGCTGATGTAGCGTAAAAGTGTCATGTTTGGCATGTTTGCTTTCCTTTATAGTAGTTCAAATCACACCRACTCTTTCTCTTTTGCTAAAGCTTCTTGTAATGTTTTCTCAGGTTGTGCGTGGTGGGKTTTTTTTTTTTTTTTTKTTTGTCTCCTTCCCTTCYGGCCCTGACAAACCCTTTACACGGATGTTCAGTACAGCAGGTGTGCGGGAGCCAAGTGAAAGCTGTGGCCCATGGCTGCAGAAAGCTGAAGCGGAGGCTGCTTCCCAGATGAGAGCAGCATCTCGGAGGCGCGTTCCCGAGCCGCAGGGAGCGGCAAGCAGCTCCAGCCCCTGCACCACGGTGAGGGGAGCTGAGGCCAGAGCGGCACTGCTCGCTCCACCAGCTACTGCTGGGGCAGGAGAAGGAGCTRTCAGAACAGTAATTCCAGAAAGATGGAAACCCAGCAACTGCAGGCGAGCGTGGGGCGGGCAAGCAACATTTAGGAGATGGTCTGGAGTGGTTTGAATCCTCTCAAGGGGCAAAATGCTTCTATTTTATTTTTCTGATTTCCCCCTCTATAAACAGTTTCCATCTAAGAACAGAAGAACAGTACCCACAAGGGCTCGCTTCTGAGCCTTCCTCTATCATTAGATTTGATAATTTTCTACTGACATAACTTATCTGCCTTATCCTCTCAGTCATAAAAGAGGTGGATTCCACTTCAATGTGGAAGTCAAACAGTAAGAAAACCAGAATATTGAACCTGATTTACATACCGAACGTTGTGATTATATCTTAAAAACTACTTTTTAATTTAGATTTAAGAAAAGTTTTGAAGAAGCCCAAAGCAGCTTACCTTATGCAGGCTTTATACATGATAAATGTATTAGCAGACAGTAAACGTAGTAGAACGTTAAGAACAAGAAGTTAAATTAAAATGGTACTTCTCCTCCATACTTCCTTAACTGGAATCCGCTAAAAATCTTCCTTTTATTTCTTCTCCCAGTGTTCGTGAAGCATGAGGCTAAATACACTGTCACAAAAGACTACAATTTTCATACTTGACTTCAAGATACTGGTATGACTGTCTAGAAAAAAGTAGTGCAAAACATGTTGATAGTCAAAGAAAGGCCATGTCCTTGCTCGCTGTGCCTTTGGGATGGAAACATTCTCCCCCCCATGCAGGGAGCACAAAGGCAGGCAATGCTTCATGGTGTTCTTAAAATTTGAACAAAGTTTTTGGGGAATATCCCCGATTTTCCTTGCATCTCTCCACTCATCCAGTCCTCATCCACGACTTCCAGCTCTGTTATTGTATCGCCCGCCTGCAAGAGAACAGGTGACATGAGCCCCGGCAGGTTGTAGTAAAAAGGTAACACACACACAGCTGATGCCATTCAGGACAAAGTTGGTCTCTCTTCTCCAGTAGTTAGACCTCTTTGGGACTCTATTTGCCAAAAATGGCTCTAACTTCTATTCAGGTAAGCAAACACCTGTCATCTGTTGAAAAGTCACCACTTTTTGGAAAGGAAAATTAGTTCTGCCAAAGCGCTTTAGGTAGGCAATGCAGGCTGCCGCCTTATGCACATTTCCGTTTTATTAAAGGCTTTCTTTAAATGCCTCAAAGCTTTGTTTTCAATTTAGTTGCATTTTTTTTCCAGCCCTTGGAAGCTTTTCCCTCAGCAGACGTTCCCCAAAAGCTACGCAGTAGTGTCAGCTCCGTCTGGTCTTGCAAAAACTCCAGATCTTGTCTGATCTTTTGTTTCTAGTTTCATCTTCCCCTGTCCCACCCTCCATGTGAGGCCCTGTCGCAGCCCTTGCCTTTTTTCCAGTGCCCCCCTCCCCCTTTTCCTCTGCAAAGGATCATCTGTCTTTTCACTGTTGCAAACTCCTGCTGCAGAAACACATTATTTTGTGTGCCTTAGAGTACATTCTTGCTAATAACGCTCTTCTGGACCTGCTTGGAAGCTTTGCTGCTTCTCAGACAGTTGCTTTTGAGGACACCGTTATGGAAGTCATGACTTTGGAGATAAAGCTGTGYGCTGTTGGACGCTGGCTCTGTATCCAGCAAGAACTGCCCCTGGGGCGCATGGAGCATCCAGCTGCCCAACCCTACTGGAGGCCGTGTCCCACTGCACTCAGGGCCGCTTCGAGCCCCTGCTGCTGTGACTGCTGCTTGGGCCGTATTGCACCTTCTCTGCTGCCTTTTTAACTGAACAGCACGTTCCTGTAACTGCATCAAGTGAGCAAGAACTGAAGAGGGCTGCTCTGCAAAAGGATGACGGTTTTTGCTCTATCATGTTTGCTGGAATAGTTAGGTCACAGAATGACTTGGATTCCCCCCCTTTTTTTTTTTCTCCTTCTTCACTTCTCCAAAGTCTTTTTCTGTCCCCCCTTGGTGAAATCTTTGAAGTTTTGTTAAAGTGAAAACTTCTAGAAAGGCTGCCTACCAAATGTATTAGTATTTATTTCTCCTTTTTGCTCAACGTAAGTRTATTTTTTAAATACATATAAATCCTTTTTTAGCATTCGTTAKGAGTGTTTTTAAAAAGAGAGTACTTACTTTGAATGAAAGCTCATCTTCATTTTCTCCATGAAAATCATAAAGAGCTTTGGCTTTTCCTTTCTTCCCTCCTCGACCCTGTGACTCGACCCTGGCTGCAGGATATGGACAACACAAGTTATTTGGATTGTACTGAACCAGAGCTTTGTTTCTGGAGAAGTCCCCTGGCCCTCTTGTCATCCCTCGCCCATACAGTGCCCAATGCCGGTAATTAGCAAAGTCAGTGTCCTACTTGGGGGAAAAAACCCTGTCCCTACTGCTACCAGTTCATTGTACAGTACAAACTCACTCTCACATCCTGCTTATAAAGGGGCTACATTTTWAAGATCACTTTGCTGAAATTCCCAGTGGCAGAGGAAGGCTGTATTTTCCTCTCTACACTTGGAGATTAAGGGGCTTTGTAGAGCTGCAATTAATGTGCACTCTTAGTCACTCAGAGGGGTGTTATTCCCTCTTGGCTTTCACTGAGGGCTTAGCTTCAGAATCAAGGAAGATAAATGTGATTGTTGTGTCCTCTGTGAAGATTCTGACCACATGGATTCTAGGGATAAGTATCTTTATATAACACCTAACTGTCACAACCTAAGGAATAACGATCTGCCTGCTAGCAGGAGCACTGTACCTGAGAAGGTCTGAACAAAAACCGCTGGGAAAATCCCCTCCTTCTCATTCAGTCTTCCTCTGTACCACTCTGCATCTACTTGTTCCAGTATTAGGATGCAGTCTCCCTTTTTGAAGGATAAATCATCTTTGGTTTCTGCTGTAAAATCATGTAGTGCTTCACACCACTCTACTGAATGTCGGTTGTTCTATTCAAGTGAATAAAAAGAGAAAAAAAAAAATTAATTTCCAAAGTGTGAATGGAGCCCATCAGCATCAGCTCAGTGATTCTGGTGAAAGAGGGGTAGAGACTTAGGTCTCCTGACTCCTCCTTCATACAACACTCATTGCGCGTGCAGACTAGAACAACATTTCAGTAATTACTACAGATTTTTGCCTATGTATATTCCTTTTAATCATTAATAAGAATTAATAGGATTAATAAGAAATTCAACATTAATCCACTGCGACAATAGTRGAAACAAAATAGAGCTAATGAGAACTGTGCACTCTTTTGGTTAAAAAATACTTCTTTTGCAAGAAGCTATGAATTTATCAATTTAGACCAACTGTCAAATTTCTATGTTACTGCAACATCATGCAACTCTGCAAGGTCATGTTAATTTTGCAATTTAAAGCTGTGCAGCAAGCATGACATGGTACAGAGATAACAGAAAGTCTGTGCAAGCCTGTGGAAGATGTACAGCAAGTCTGGCCCAGCCTATAAAAACCTGTTACCTGAGGAAGGGAAGAGGAACCTTCCACCTTGCTCTTCGGCGATGCCCTTACACCTGTGGAGCAAAGGGCAGCTTAGAACAGACGCAGTGACTTTCAAAACTTTACTAATGATGGAAATTTTAAATATTTCAAGTGGTTATAAAGAGCAACTCTTAAATCCTACTCTTTTTTTTTTTTTTAATCTGTCCTCTCTCCAGCTCCTTCCCTATCCACTGTCCGTTTGAACTTTTATCCCATATCCTTTTATGCTGCCTGTATGTATGCAATGCTAATCTATGTGCTGGAGGAAGATGCTTGCAGGGTCGCTAACATACTCATACCTGTTTCAGGAAGGTCTTCTATTACTTCCACAAAATTCAATGGGAAAATTCCAGATGTGCCTCTCAGCTCTCCTTTGGCCCATTCATCGTTTACATATTCTTTAAGGATGATAGTTTCACCTTCTGAAAAACTGAGTTCATCTTTCTGGTCTCCAATATACTCAAACCGGGCAACACATCTTGGGCCTCTGTACAAACAGAAAAAGCTGTTTTTGCTATTGTCCAGTTATTACTGAGAAGACAACATTATTCAAAAAATGACTGATACTTTTTCATTGAAGAGGGAAAGAATGCACTGAAGATAGAATAGGTGGAAAACTGGAGTCTAACCTTGGCTACCTCTGTTCTCAAAGGAGGCTGAAGTTTGAAGCGGCTGGACAAGTACCTACTTCTTGCACTCACCTCCTGGTTGCTGTAATGTTTGGCTTTGTTTCTCTTCCAAAGGTAGCAAGAAAAACACCTTGATTCTGGGCTACATGTCCAGATTCTTATTTTTGCCCATATACAAGTAAGTATCCTAAGCGTTCATGGGGGAGGTAGTTTTTATATACTTCTTGACAAAGTTTATTCTATAACCAATTCATCCTAGGGGTGCTGAAATAAGATACCTACCTCGAAGAGAAACCTTCCTGCATCTGTTCAGTCTAAAAAAATTGGTATGATACTGAAGAGTGAATTCATTTTTTTTCTTCTTTTGCCTTGTTTAAATAGAATTAAAAAAATACTGTTCTAACAAATTTTATGGACTTCCATAAATGCCAGGCCAAAAAAGCAGCAATAGTAGAAACAGCCTTTACATCTTCCGACAGCATCACTTAATCCAGTGTAGAGACTTCATTTCCCCCTCAGCCTTGAGGAACAGCCAGGTCCCTGTGCCCAGCTGCTGGGCTGCACAACTACAGTAGGTCTGAGCTAGAGCCAGCTCCCTGCTCGGCCCTTCCTCCTCCTCCTCCTCTGCCTTGTGGGCAGCAGCCAGCAAGGATAACTCTAGTCCAGGATGTGGGAGCAATCAGGGGCTACTTCTCTACAACCATACTCTCCTTAAAGAGAAAAGTGATGGACTAATTTTTTTAACCTATTAAGTGGGTCTTAGTCTTTATCTTTTACTTAAATCCAAGAGTTTTATTAAAGTTCATTGTACAGTACAAATTCATAAACTTTTAAAAATGAAGCTGTCAAAACACTAGGATATATTTAGGTGAAGTAGCTGCTAACCATATTAMACTCAGTGCAAATGACACCATTTTCCACTTTCTTTTTAATCTCTTAATAAATCTAGAAGGGGAAAAAAAGGTAAGATTTATCGACTCACTTCACACAATGCGATGCACAGACTATTTTTTTCTTGTTGTTTTCTTCTGGAACATCAATCTAATAAGACAAAACACATTGATGTATCTATAATCAACTTTTCTTAAAATAATCGATTTTCAAATAAGCATCAGCTCTAGCTGTGACATCCATTTGACACTACATAATCACTTATGCTCTGATATATGACCATATTTGAGTTTTTTGGTTTTGTATGGCTGATGTTTCATTTTTCSACCTCCTGCAAACAAGCACTATTTAATGTTTCTATTATTAGCATTGTTTAGTATTTCTCCATTGCATAGCTGAATGACAGAAAATGGGACTGGATGCTACTACAGAGCACCAAACTTTCAATTGATAATTGCTATCTTATCTCCTAGCACAATTTTGTCTCCCAGTAGATAAAACTACTGTTTAGCTGTCAGGGGCTGGGTAGCCCAGCACTTGCCATCTGTACTCGAAACAAACACATCTCACTTCGGCAGGGACACAGTGRCTGTACACAAAGAAAGGTCAGTTTGGAGAAAAACAAAGTAATTGTTTTCATCTCATTTGCAGCCAGGCACCATGTGCTTGTTATAGAAACTGGAGAAATTCAATTAAGACAAAACCACTGTGTACACAGCGCACAGCCAGTGCTCTGTCGCCCGAGGACTGCAAGTGCATTTTTGCTACGAGCTCTAGGGCAGCCCTGCCATTTAGGGTAGGACCCCAATCCTACAACGTGAGCCAGGCCTCACTGCTCTCTCCCGTAAGCTGCTGCTCACAAACCCAACAAGAACGAGCTGTTAGCTCCTAGGGAGGGCTGCACAGGAGCACGCTGCCCTGCAGGARAACTCATCTTTGCATCACCCGTGCCAGGCGAGCTTGCTCTGCAAGATGCAGAGCAAATCTTGCTCTGCAAGATTTAACAGCAGTACTAAGGGTGTTCTGTAACTGGAAGTTCAAGCAGCTCAATAGTCAAAAACATGCTGTACTGAGATCAGTGTATTTTGTATTGAGATCAGTGAATTAGTATAGTTACTCCTTCCCTAATAACTTTTCTAAATTTTGCTGAAATAATAGACTTGTGAATTCAAAGGGAAATTACCTTTTAGAACTAAAGCACATGGTTGAAAAACATCTTCCGTTGTTTTTATGAAATTGTATATTTATAACAATGCTGAACTTGTCTTCCTCGCCCCCCCCCCCCCCAAATATATTCATTTCATTGCTTTAACATAATGTTTTTACTAGCCCTCAGGAACAGGAATCTATCAATTAAATTGCCAGTGTAGAAGAGGCTAAGGGATTTAGCTAACCAATTTTTCTTCTGAAAGCAAGTTCAGTGCATTATTTCTAACCATGAGCCTATTCTTTTTAATTCAGTAGGTTTTCAACTGCTAAAATTGCTCTTCAAGCTAACAAGCTAAACAGAGACTCCATTTAACACTCTGTACCTACTACTAAATATTTAGTACTTTCAATACAGCTGCAGTTCTCATCTCTTAAAGAGACAGGTGGCAGCTCTGAGCAAATTTCTGCAGCCCTCAACTGTCCTGTATCTCTGTCCCATTCCTTTTGGCTGGACTGCAAAACAGCACCTGCCTCTTGTGTGCAGTTCAGAGCCCAGCGTGCCACCCAGCAAAGGCTCCTGAGGCAGCCTGGTTGCAATAAGGGTTTCCTTGGGCTCTGTTCAAGGGGACAAGCGYGAGAGGCCGGGGCAGGACGCAGACATCTTGCTGAGCTTCGATTCTGATGGGCAGCCAGGAAAAATCAGCTGCTCTGCAGGCCCAGAGAAATCACTCCAGGTAACTGAGGGAGTAGGACAGGTCCTAAGGGCTACCGTTCTCCCACAAGGGCTTGAAATTAATGGGAAAATAATATCCAGACCAAARCTTGGGCTGCTAACTCAAGCATCTTCCTAATACCATGCAAACAAATTCAACGCATCTTCTGTGCTGCCAGGGAGAAAGAGCAAATGGCATAAAACASGCAGGAGCTACAGTTAACTAACTGGAACCACAAAAGATATCTATGGGATCTTATGTATATCACCATATGCAAAGCATACATACAACTACTTTAACAAAGTTGGCTGGAAATATCCCTGTGAGATTCCCACATTTTCCTCTGTACCACTCCGCGTCAATCTTCTCCAGAAGGCAAACGGTGTCTCCAGAGCGAAGCTCCAGGTCCTCAGCGTGCTCTGCAAGACAGCAGCGTTGCAGTGAAAGCAGCTCTCACAGTCACTGCTTCTTTCTTCAAGTCTTCTTAATATAACCCCCAGACAGAAGTGACATGAGCTTTTAAAAAGCCTTAAAAGCACATTGCTGAACAAGTGAATTTAACTAAAAGACCTGGCTCAACTACAGCTAAACCTATGGATTAGAACAACTTCACTCGCAGCACTTGCAGACTGAGATTCCTGATTATTTTAAAGCTGTAATTCCTAAGTAAATTCCCATCTTGAAAGCTGTGGAGTAAAGCAAGCTTCCAGGTTATCCAGATGTACTTACCCGCAGGAAAATTGTGCAAGACTACAGCATGAGGCCCATTTGTGACAGAAGCCTTTGGAGGAGGGTTTGAATCCTGGCAATGGCAAATAAATGCAAGAAGTTTATAAACCATGAAGGATGTAAATACAGATTCTCTGTTATTTATTCTGAAAGTCATTTTTCTGATTTTTGACAATAATATTGCCATGATATCATAGCAGGTGACAATTTGTCACAATCTGACCTGAAAATATTTTTTTTTTTTTTTTTTTTTTTTTTTTTTACCAATGCAAACCAGACAGGACTTTGGTGAAGTCTATCTTTCATGCCATAGAGGGAAGGGAGGGCAGCATCACTGCCACTCTTGCAGGTGCAGACAGAGCCTCCTGCATCTGGAGCAATCCTGGCCACCCTCGGGGCCAGGGTTATGGCCCATTCTGTGTGGGGCTGTGTGTGCTGCTGCTTGCTCCTGCCTGCCATGAGTATTTCTTTTTTTTTTTCCCCCCTTCCTTGCTTTGAGAGAGCATCTCAGCCCAAATATCCCATAACACGCAGAAGGGACAGCAGATCTGTCATTTGGCGAGTATTTTGGAGGTGAGGGCAAGCCACTAGGCCTTTGCTTGCAGGAACATAGCACTGAGGCTAAATGACAAGTTTGTTGTAGGATTTTTATAAAGAGAAGATACCTTATGAATGCTGTGCCTTCATCTCTGTTTCACCCACCTGATTCCAGTTTGGCACTCCAGAATCACTGTCTCTGCTCCATAAGTAGACTGTCCCCACGTTTTAGGGTGCTTCACTTTTTTGGGGGTGCTGGTTTTGTTTTTATTGATTTAATTAACCACTAGTATATTTTTCAGTGTAACCTTCTAAAGTTTAGGTTAAAGTACTCAATGCCAGGAATCTTAATGATTAAATATCAGTCAGTAGAGAAAAACACCTTACCTTACAGGACGGTTCTCTGGGGTTCCTGGGAAGGTGGTTTTCCTTGGCAGCTCYATGAGGCACAGGTAGCTTGAAAAGAAATTGAGGGGAAGATAATAATTTGTTTCATTTTTAAGCACCTGACATTTCTACTATATGTGAAAATACTCTGATGATGGAACTATTCAGACCATGTATTACAGGTGACTACTTTTTTAAGCCCRGCAGAAGAAGACTGAGGCCTATGGAAAGCATTCAGCAGTATGAACTGTCCTAGTTGTTGCATCCAGCTTTAAGTATGTGACCTCCCTTAACTTTACCCATGGCACATGGCACCAGTGGTTGGCCATGCACTGTAATACAAGAAAATATTCTTATGTCAAGGAGGGCTCTGGAGAAACTGCTTGGAAAGAGAAATTCATGGCACAATATGTGAGAGCAGGAATTACCAATGAACTCCTAGAATTACTAGTGAACTACTAGAAAAAAAAATCAAAAACCTCACCTACAGTATATCAAAGGTTTCTTATATAAATGGGAAGTAGCACACCAGGTAGGAATCAACTTTTTCCTTATCTCAGAGCTGTCCCTATTCATACTAAGATACAACCTTCTCCCTCACACTCCTCTTCTGCACCTGAAGGCAGAAGTGCAGATCAAATAGAAGGCACCAGAAGGCTTCCACTTTGGGCTGAAAGTTGTCTCCAGGCTACAGTTGCATGTTCACCATAGGATTTTTAAGAGGTGGGGTTTTTTTTTTTTTTTTTTTTTTAAGTTTTTAATACACACACACACACACATAAATACAGACCACTTTCCATTGCATATTACTATTTATTAGTGTTTTCTGAGAAAGATTTTGCTGATAGATTGTTTCTGACAGCCATATCTTAATAATCTACCTTCGTATTTCTGTTCTTTTACCACTATTTTCWTTTTTTTTTTTTTTTGGTAAATAGCAATGTAAGACAGAGTATCTCAACTCACCATGTATTTATTGTAGAGAGGATGACCTGGCTTAGGCCTAGGAGGTAATGCTGGATCTTGATTTTTTAAGACTTGGCTCTTTGCTCTCTTGGCTCCCAATCTGAACTTGCTGTTTTTTCTGTCACAAGCAAGGTCAGAAGTGGAGCGGGAAAGAGGGTCCTTTTGGGAGGAGGTCTTGGCTGCAGAGAGCTTTGGTGGAGGTGGCCTTCCAGGAGCACCTTTAGGTGGGGGAGGTCGGGCTGGTATAATCTTTCCATTCACAGGCCTAAAACATGGGGTGAACCATCAAAGAAACAGAGAAACACGTTAGCAAGTTGGCCACCTTATTCTCCASCACAGCCTTGGCAAAGGAACATGCGACCAGGGAAAGGATCTGGACTGTATGACATAGTATCCACAGTTCTCCAGGCATACAGGAACCCTTCTGACAGTGGGACTGTCACCACTTCTGCTAATCAACAGTTGCTTTTGTGAAACCCACGCATGCACTGCATATGTAAAACCAAACATGAACAAATACTTACTATTGCTAGGCTTTGTAGCGTAGTTGTGTAGCCGAAACAAGGTTCTCTTGTCCTGACGCTACAAGCAAAGCATACTGTGTGTTTCAGCCCACAGACTCACGGTGTAGATGACAACCGAGCCGTGTTGGCTGGCCCAGTCTCTGCCTTGTCTGGGGAGGCAGCAGCTGCCACCTCTGCTCTTTCCACACTCAAACGCAGCCGCACGCGCGAGCTGCTCATGGAAAGGTCAGCGACACGCAGGAGGAGACGTCCCATGGGCAGCCCCGGGGGAAGAGGTTACATGCGCAGAACGAAATGAGCGTCAGCAGCCACTGTGCACGTGCTGAAGAGCCAAATAGCTGCTCTGTGATGGCCCTGCTCACACTGACAAGCTRCAAAGCAGCTAGCTACATGGGCCTGCTTATTTAATACTGTGTTAAAGTGGTCTAGGGAGAGTCTAACTGAGCAAACTAACAGAGAAACACACCAGATTGCTGAACAATTCCACTCACCTTGGGGGAAGCGCAGGCTCTGTGTGAGGTGCTCCTGGCTGTTCTGAATGATCCGACTCCTACAAGAGTTAAAAAGAAAAAAAACAATGCCATTATAAGTAAGAAACCAACAAAAAAGGGATCTTGTTTGAATGATGCGTTTTGTGTTTTACATTATATGCTATAGACAAATAAAATGAGTTTCTGGGCTTCTGAGAACACAGTAAAAAAAAGAAATCAAGCTTTATTCTAACATTTTRAAGTCTTGCTGGACATGCAGAGAGATGCAAATAACCTGGCAGAGTACCTGAATCAGAGCTTAAATTGTACATTAGGTTTGAGCCAGCCCTCTTTTCCTACTACATTAAAGTCAGAGCCTAAAAGAAAACTCAGGCCAGACACAAAAAAATCGTTTTTTCATTACCCAGAAGATGCCAATTTGGCTGCACATACCTTACCGATTTTGTTTTAACATTGACAGTTGAAGCACTTAGCTCTGATCAGGCTTAGAATAGAAAACATTACATGGATACAACTCATACAGGTGAGATTTTATTGCAAATACTGTTAGCTGTGCTTCAAGAAGGCATCTCCACGTGTTTCCTAAGGAGCTAATGGGTAAGTCCTGGGGAACTGTGGAGATGCAGGAGTCACTGCTCCCAATTGCCCATCCTGTCCCTGTCAGAAATCACTGTCCCRCAGCAGAGGCGGTGCAAAGGACCATGTCCCACGTCTGAAGGGCTCGCATGTCACTAATGGATTAACTGAGTCACCATCCTCTGCCTCCTGCCATTCACTGCCATCCCAGTGCCAGGGAGTGCCGCCAGCTCAGCTGAACCGGTGAAATTGTTTGTACGGCAGCTTAGTAAATCAGACTGCTTAATCTGGTTTCAAAAGATAATATTTTAAAAGGGCTGACAAGTTATATTTACTTAATTAGGGATACATGTGCTAGAAATTCATAAAGTTTCTTTCCTTTCTCTGCATCTAGACAATATCTGAATGTATGTGGTGGCAAAATTTTGACTCTCGACTAGGTCTCCAAAGGAATATTCTTGATCATTAAAAAGTACAACCTGCTACTTTCAGACTGGGATATTACCATAATACCTAACATTTTCCTCCTCCCTATGAAAGGGGGCAATCATATGCTAACCAAAGCACGTGTTAAACAGCTTTTACTTTTGCTGGTTAATCATTTCTGCAGCCAAATGCTCCTAGTTTTGCAAGTGATGGTTTGTGTAATACTTTATTACGAATTCATTCTCAACGTTCACCACTTAACAAAGGAAATCAGCTCAAGTAAATATATGAATTTATATTTARAGGGGGAAACTCAAAATTTGTAGCAGGTTGTTGATAGATAATAGAAGCATAAGGCCCCTGCATTCAATGCTACTGAAGGACTTAAGAGAGAAAAAAACAGTTTGCAAGTTCTTTGCAAAGATGGAATTTAAATGTTTTAGTGGATGTGATATAGTCCTTTCTAAGAAGGAAAAATGAGATCCTCTGAAGCTGACACAAGATCTTCTACACGCTTTTCAGAACAACCTGGACAATCATATACTATGATAGATATCATACAGTATAAATCAGATACTATATGATAGACGGTAGATATCTCAGGTTTGTATTGTGTTATATAATATTTTCTTTAGCATCTTGTATCTGGGAACTATTTCTTCAGCATTACTGAGAAGAGTTGAAACCTCTGTGAAAAGCCTCTTCAGCCACCATGTTTAAAAAACACTTTATCCTCTCAGCAAAAATAGCCACAAAGATATTTGTTGGCAGCTGTCCAACCTAGTTAGGCCTTTCAGATTGATTTGATCTTGTTACTGCCTACAGTTTCCCCAAGAATCTCTGCCACTCTTGCCATCACAGCTCCCTATATTCGGAAATTCACTTGGCAATGTCATGTCCTCATTTATTTAGCAAATCCGTGTCAAAGGGCTCGCAGGATGCMGAGCTACAGCTTGGTATTTGTGCAGGAGGGAGGCGCAAGAGGCCACCTTTTTGAAGCAGACAGTTCTGCTTACTCAGGCTCTGACCAAACCAATAGAAAAGCTGGCTTCACTCCCCTCTCTATCTACAGAAGCATTTTCTTTTGGCCTGAGATTAGTGCATATACAGAAAGACACCTTCTATGTGAAGGTAAAAGTGTCTAAAGGACTTTGACAGTTTTGACTATGTAAATCCTAGACTTTGAACTCACTTGGCAGGGTTTGGGGAATTAAGCAGTAGAACACGATGGATCCAGACACAAAGTACAGAAAAGTCAAGGTAGATGTGATCAAAGTTTAGTAAAATCAATAAAGTGCTTTTTCAGAACTGAAAGCAGTCTAAATTATCTGTTTAAATTAGAGGATGCAATTAAAAGAAGAAAGCCTTATATTTTTAAAGTAGCCCCTTTTATCCTTTGGTCCTTCAAGTAACTTACTTTATAAAGAAGTGAGAGTCACAAGAGATCTGTTAAGCAAAGACGACATAGTTTTAACACAGGAAAACAGTTCTAACTTACCACCTTTTTTACTTGATCACCATTGTTGCATTCTCCCACTGCGACAGAAGAAGTGTTCCCAATAGGCTTTTCAGCAGGAAGTGGTGGAGGGCTATATGGGATTTCACTTAAAGCTGGAAAAAAAAAAAAAAAAAAAAAAAAAAAANAGTTCCCGAATGAAAACTTAATGGTTTCTTTACAGAGACCAACAATAGACAGGAGGAAATCCACTTTGATTTTGTGCATTTAGCACATTTTTGTGAAGACAGCTGCCCCAAAGCCTGGGCAGCCAATGGGCAGGATCACTCAAAGACCAGTGGGGAAAAAAAAAAAAGAAGGAAAAAAAAAAAAAAAAAAAGAAAAGGATGTAAATGGAATGTCCTAACTCTGAGGCTGGCCATAAGAGAACCTCCCCTTCTGCATAAAGCTCCTTCACTGAATTAACTTGCTGATGTCCTGAGAGTTAGAGGTTTCAGAGGTGGTACTTATTACTCTATAAGCGCAGGAGTAGCACAGTGCCTACCCTGAGAATGTCACGCTCATCACTGGATACCCCGAAACACCATCACCGTCTCTCAGCCACATTTCTAAACTGGCTCTTGTTTTTTTTTTCAGCTGTCAGCTCTTGGAATATCTTTCAGGCTGGGAAACAGCTGAGGGTTATTTCAAGTAACCATGAAAGATCATGAGACTTGGACACCTGAAAAATCACCAGAAAGGTAAAAGCAGAAACAGAAACTGTTGCCTGCTAGAAAACTCAGGGTGACAGAAAGAAAAGAGGCAGGAGTGCCCTGATAGTCCTTAAGAAGCCAAGCAAATTTAGGAGATCAAAGAGGAGACAGTGCTTCTTTATCTATGGAAGACAGATGACCTTCTCAGTCTCAACAAAGAGCACAAAACCTGTTAATTATTTTATGAGATTAATTTTAAAAGTCTTTCCTATTGTAACCTAAGAAACACAAGTTTTGTCAGTGTATTTACCCATCAATTTGTCTTTTATACTGGAATCTTGTCATCTATTTTACATAATATGTGCCTATCAAAATTATTTCTTTAATAAAACAAAATAAAACAAACTYAAGACGCTTAAGGTCTTTCCAACCTTGAAAGTATATAAAAGCATACATAGACAGACTCTGCATTTATGAATTCATGACAAATATGAGGGGAAATTGCCCCTCTACTCAGCTCTGGTGCAGTCACACCTAGAATACTGTGTGCAGTTCTGGGCTCCCCAGTACAAGAGGGATGTGGAGCTTCTGGAGAGGGTCCAGAGAAGAGCAACTAAGATGATTAAGGGAATGGAACATCTCTCGTACGAGGAGGGACTGAGCTGGGCCTGTTTTCTCTGGAGAAGAGTAGGCTGAGAGGGGATATGATTAACATGTATAAGTTCATGATGGGAGAATGCAGGGAAGAAGGGGACAAGCTCTTTGCATCGGTGGCCAGTGATAGGACGAGGGGTAATGGACATAAGCTGAAGCACAGGAAGTTCCRTCTCCAGGTGAGAAGGAACTTCTTTACTGTKAGGGTGACAGAGCAGTGGAACAGGCTGCCCAGGGAAGTTGTGGAGTCTCCTACTCTGGAGGTCTTCAAGACCCGCCTGGATGCCGCCCTGTGCCACATGCTCTAGGTGTGCCTGCTTGAGTGGGAAGGTTRGACTAGATGATCTCTAGAGGTCCCTTCCAACCTTGAATATTCTGTGACTCTGTGAAATTCCATCCAAATGAAAACTTTCTGCTGCTCATTTCACAAAAAATACTCTCAGGAAAAGAAGAGCTCACAAGAAAATGAATGTTTGTTTTAACACTTCAGTTTTTAACACTTTAGTTGCATTGTCCATGAGCTAAAAGGCTGGCAAGATGTTTAAAAATGGATCAGTTCACAGATGTCTCTCCCACAGTTTTAAGGGCAAGTGTTGGCAATAACTGAGCACGAAAAAAAAAAAAACAAGACGAGAAAAAAAAAAAAAGAGGTAAAGTTCTTCCATTCTTCTAAATTAGTGTGATGAGAACTAAAAGCAATGCCTGCCAGTAATTGCAAGAGAAATTTCCTGTTATCATTCTTTACTGATATATAATGAGTACTAGAGATTTATGCAAATACACCACTTCAAATCTTAACATGTAAACAGATGGCCTAATTTCCCTATCTTTACTCTTTATAAAAATAAAATTAAAGCCATTACAARAAGAAAGGCCTCAAAAGCAAGTGAGCAGGTGTTATTTTCAGTGATTTCTAAGTGTAAAAGCTGAAGAGGAAGTATAAGGCTGCCCTTGTAATCACAGCTCAGTAAAAATGTTGATATGGAATGACAGGAGCATTAGCTCGATACCCAGGTATCCAGGTCTGCCCCCCTTTTGACAGTGCTGGCTTTGGGGGTTTCTTGGGAGTTTTTCTTTTTGGTTTCAGCTGGTCTTTGTAGAATGAATCTCCCTCCTGACCCAGGAGGGCTAAAGACCATCTGTACTGAGACCCTGTGGCTAAAGGACCCCTGCAAGGGAAACCCTATTAAACCCATGTGGGGAGGTTTCACCGTTGTCCAACTGCAGTGGTCTCATTCCTGCCGCTTGCAAGAGCCAGGGCAGCTCCTGTCTGAGGAAGTGCTACTGTGCTTACTTGTAACCTGCTCTTCCCACATCCCATTAACCTTCCAGGTGCAACCTCCTAGAAAGCACTCACCCCTCTCCCTAAGGGAGAGTCCTCAGCCCCCGTCCTTAAGGAGCTGAGTCCACATGAACAGCCCCTTGTGGGACCTTCCATTGCCACTAGAGAGCAGCAAGGGGCCACTTTATCTACGAGTTCAAAAAAGAACGCAGTTAAGAAAAAGACAATAATAAACTTATCGGGTCATTCCTTTCTTTTTATTCCCCTTTTTTTTCCCTAGAAATTACAAAGCAAGATTTCCTTTGTGGAGAATAATTGAGTCTCAGGTTCTTTATAGTGGTTCATAAACACATTTTTCCAATTGAAAAAGCTTTTTATTTATGCTCAGTTATTAACAGAAAGACTTTTCCTAACAGACTTATCTTCACTCTCCTCTGCATTTGTAATCATTTCCACCGCATTTCTCACATACACAAAGGACTGAAAAGCTAGAATTTGAGGGAGGGAAGGAAAGGGAAATCTTCAGGAAACAATGAAAGAAAGTCTTAGGAACATCACCAGGACAGCTTGTTGCTACAAATTTGACTCTRTATCTACTCACTGGAGTGAAACATCAGTCAGAAGGAAAAAAAAAAACCCACTTTTAAATGCTATCTTGTGACATTTCTTTCTAAGCTTCACAGATAAAACGTAAGGCTAAATGTAAGCAACTATTTACTGAAGCGTACAAAGACCTCTCAGCTCTCTGATAAAATCCCAATCTGTGAGATACTGTCAGTGTTATTTCTAGAGCTGAAAAGTATTGCAGGTGGAAGGCATTAGGGATAACTATCAGAAAATTAGTCAGGAGCTCTACATTGCAATGAACACCTAAGGTTTTTACACCAATGTTCCTGTATGCCTTTTTTACAACATGGGTTACTACCCCAAACATTATTGCTTAAACACCCTGAGACATCAGACCCAGCACTTCCCTTGACCCTTGTTGATGTAAGGTGTGAAAATTATGTTTGCATCCTGATTAAAGTATGCTTGGAGCCAAGCTTAATACACTGATGTTGTTGGTCTTCTGATCACAAGAAGCACAAGAACAGCATAAAAATGTCCTCAGCTGATGTCAGAACATGAGTCAACTCAACTGAAGCTACAGTTCAGCAGTGCGGTCGAGCTGACAGAACAAGCTCAGACCATTTCTGATGGAAGGGGTTCCCCAACAACAAAGCTTATTGTCCTCAACTCTCTGCTGCTGCCCCTTAGATCTCCCCCTCCAACGTATGCCTCCCCTCTAATGCAGACAGGAGGCAGGGAGTGGGACACAGCTCTCTTCTCCTCTCCAGCAGTTCAACTGCCTCTGCCAGCCTGTCAGACTGTGCCATGGAAGCATTTGACAGCTATTACAGCTAGCTATCAGCAATCGATTTGTAGATAGTAAATCCCACTTAAAAGGATTTCCTGATAGCAATTTCGCAGACAATTCAGAAGAACTTACATTTCCCGGGTTTAGCTGGGATTCGGATAACAGTGGGTTTCCGGGGTAAAGCTGGTTGAACTGTCTGTTCCTTTACAGGCTCACTTTTGGAGGGGATCTGGAATGGATCTAAAGGCAATAAATAAAGAAATTTTAAAAATACATATTTTTTAAATTGAGCACAACTCTCACCCAGTATTGCATTCATAACTAAGGATATTTATATTTCATTTCTGAGGAATTAAGCATCAAAAATCACAGCTTCCAGGGACATAGACAGCAGGCTGATTTTTCATCAGTACTCAGCTCCCTCTTTTCTGTGCATTTGTATTCAAAGTTGAGTTAACAGAAACATATCCCAGATGTCTTCTGGGATTATACACGTCACTGAACAAGAGCAACCACGTTGCTCGGGAGTAGGGAGCCGAAATCAGGATTACTTTAGGGAAACATGTTCGCAAAGCAGTTGTTCTAATAAGTGGGCATAAATGAACACATTGGCAAAAAGTTTTAATCAATAAAATTTTGCCGAAGCTATAAAGTCAGCACCACACCACATAATGTCTACAGACAGAAACAAAGCATGTAAATATTAGACTGATTATAAAATATTATTTGCTATGGAATAACCAATTTATCTTGAAGAGTGTGTCATTTTGCAGATTATAAACTCCATGTCAGGGGAAGATTGGGGACTGTGAGTCCCGCCTGAGCTCTGCCCCTGCGATTACCACCCACTCCTGTTCAAGCCTGTCCAATCAATCCATCATTTTCCACCAGTAAGATAGGAGCAATGTTTTCTATGTTGAATGAATGCTAGTGCTCACGTCTCTTATTAATAGGCATTGAACATATGTGCATGTAGAAGGCAGCTGTAAAAATATATGTGCATAAATAAAATCAAGGAGTTCCTTCTTAAGTAGACCTTCACGTCCAAGAGCAATGCTTCATTTATACATGTCCTCTGCTATTTACAAACGTTACTTTCTCCTCTAAATCCTACCTTTTTCTCCAACAATATCAAAAAGTACAGTAAAATGACAACACTTAACTGCATCATAAATGCATAAGAGAGAAACTGGAGAAGCCCTCTGGCCAATAAATTCTCCATGACGCATATTCATAGTCCCGACAACTGAGTTGGATTTCCTCTGGTGGCCTTTTCAGACGTGTAGCTCAATGAGATGTTATTTATGGAGTGTCAGAACCAGCCAGAGCACGCTGGGCWTCTCTTCAAATTCTTCAAGGCCTTTAATAAAACACCCTCTTCCCGAAACTCCTACCACACCTTCTGAACAAAGTTGGAAGCTGAGGTCTAGTAACATTCTAACTTTATGTTCAACGCTTAGAAACAGCTAAAATTAAAGGAAAAAGCGCATAGCATGAAGTCATGATTTCATACGGATAATTCTGGGTACTACAATATAATACCATTTACTAATATATTTGAAATCTACCTCTGAAAATGTAAGACAGATTTAAAAAAATCCAGAATATCCAGAATATTCCAAAGCTTTCATAAAGAACTCCCCATAGCCGGCGGCTCCTACATGGCCAAGGTTCCCAGCCCTGTGCCAGCAGCGTAGACAACGTGTGGTGGGGCCTAAGTGCACTCCCACCAGCCCCTTGCTTGCTTATGGATTTGGATAGGGGACGGATCCTTGGCTACGGATATTAATTAACTGTTAGGATATTAATTAACTGATCAGAATGATTTTAGGGTGAGCAAGGGAAGCCCAAGCTTCCTCCTAAGCTTTCTACTCCTGCTGCCGTAAATCTCTCAGTTACGACTCTCTCTCTCTCAGGCCCCTCTCCAGCCGATTCGGGTGCAATCCTGACGAGGCAGCAGGGCTGCGGGCCCCAAAGTTGCGCGGGCCCCAAAGTTGCGCAGGCCCGTGGGGCAGCCCACGGCAAAGGAAAGCTCGGCAAAGGTGAGCAGGGCTGCACAACACAGCAGCAAAAAGCACCCCCTGAGCGAGCGTTCAGCGCAGAGGTGGACAAAGTCCTCCACGGAGGACAAGGAAGTCCTTTCAAAAGCCTCTCTCTTATAAAGGCATATCTCTAGTAAGATCCAGTGGGATGGACTACTCTAAACAATCAAAATAATCACAGGGCTATATTCCTGTAAATGAGCTTTAAGACTGCATGACACTGCTGGTTCTCAGCTGTTTATCATTCCTGTGGTTTGCTCCATCACTCAGCAGTTGGCCGAGGCCTCCATTCCAGTAACTCTGGGAGAAGTCGCTTTTAAATCTCAGGCTTTGACATGCTCCACCTGAGGCTCAGAAATCATCCTGCAAAGCTTCGTCTTTTCACTCATTATCTGACATTCAATTATACTGTTGTCACCTAGTAATTAGCCCAAACCTCATTACCTTGTTTGTGCCGTCCCGTTCCCCTGTGTCGAGCCGGCAGCAGAAACTGGCTGAGTAAATGACTCTGCTGCTCCGTGCAGTGGGGCTGACAGCGTATGAATTTTTGATGTTGTTGAACAACAGTTGGGCTTGGTTTGAGCATAATTCATGGAAGCATGAAAACAGAATTGTTAATACCCTCATTTAAAGCATCTCAGTTCAAGGGAATTAACTTGCCAGGCATTGATCATAAGACTTATCAGAGGACTTCTATCCATCTTTGCTTTTTTCAATAAACTTTAAAAAGGGTATTTGCAGCCTGGGTTTTCCTTAGTCTCATTTTCTGCAGCTTCTGTTTCAACACTTTATTTGATAACGTTTTACAGATATCAGTACACATGTATTATTCACTGGGTTTGTCTCAGGTAGTATAGTTTTAGCAAAGCCTAACCCAGCACAAGCACTCTTGCATTTGCACAAATGTGCTTCACCCACATGCAGGGGCCTGTTTTCAACATGCCCCTGCTTGAAATACAGCTGGAATGACCTCAATGACAATCTGCTTTACCTGATGTGGCACAGTATGAGAGGAATCTGCCAGGGCTAGTAAAAACTTATAAATAACAACCTTAACCTTAACATACAAGTAGCTTTTCCACTGAGGATGCCAAAGGATTAGTTTTGCCTCTTCACTCGCGTATGTTGTACCACAAGCACACAGTGATTTCAATACCTTTTTTTTTTATTTTTATTTTTTTATCATATCCTTGATCTTTCCTGGCAGAAACACTGCATCCATATGCCCAAACAAAAACTTCAAACTTCTCGCACATCAACCAGATTAATAGAGTTCTGCAAAGACTTAAGGACCTGGAGAACTCATCTGGTAATAGTCCCTGCTCCTCACAGCACAGAAAATGTTGCGAACTCCTTGCACAGGTACTGCTCCTCATCCACTGCTGACGCTCTGATGGAGCACAACAGAAAACAAGAATGAGCTTGGTCCAAAGATCAAATGATGTTTACAGGATACATGAAGAGCTTGCAAAAGGAGCCTAGCAAACAGCACAACAGAAGTGCATGAAGTCACAGATTTTATGTCAGGTTTGATGGTCTCTGGAAGTTATCAATAAAATCTGGTGAGAATCAATAGAAGATCCAACATAAGGGCACTGGCTGAATAAACAAGATGTTATTAACTGAGTGATGAAGTATCTCACATAAGGCATTAGAAAACAGACACAAATAAAATTTACCCCAGRCCTACAAAATCTCTTGGCATATCAAAACACTTAATAGTAGCAGTAGAAGTGTTTGAGGACTGTAGAGCTACAGCGCTACACAACACACACAGACACAGTTATAAACAGACCTTTTCTGAGCTTRGACTGTTGAACATCTTTCAGCATTTTCATCTCAGAAACTGCAGGAATGTCCCAAACTACATCTGTTTCTCTTAAAGCACCACAGCTGAGTCTGCTACTAGCTTGTACATACTACTAGAGGTGATGATAATTTCCTCTAGTAATTAATTGGTGCTTGCAGCAGCAATTAATATTTCTGATTTTGATTATGTGACTATGATTTTAAAAAATTGTTTCCTGAACTCAGGTCTAAGGTCATCTCCTTGGAGTCACTTCTAAGCTCTCTGCAGCTCCAAGTGCTCACTAAACAAAATCTATAGGGTTTGATGAGAAGATGAACGCTTACGGCTGCTGGAGATCACCAATCTTTTAGCAAAACCAACAGGACTCAGTACACAGCTCCATACATCAGCCCTAGGCTACAGTACAATGTCTTAAGGAAGGCCTGTTTTCACAGTGGTTTAGGCCAAAGAGAGGATTAAAAATGGATGAGACGATGTMAGTCTGCTCTGAGGACAATCCTTTTGGCAGTAAGGCAAAACAACARCAGGTAACTTTTTAATAAAACTCATTTGAAGCAACATAGCAGAACTATAAGAAAAACTATTTTTTTTTAAAGATAAGTCTGGACTAATCTACCATTTAGAAATATTTTGGGTCTTTTCCTACTGCCCCGGAAGCATCAGGAATGAGCAGCTGGGCAGTGTCCTTGGGCAGGCAATTTTGGAGCTACTCAAGCAGGTCTGAACTGCCTACAATGTCCCAGACATCCCATCATTCACGCCACAAGAAGGAGCAACACGTATAAATGGACAGCAGTCACCCATTTGGTTGGCTTTTTTCCCCATGCAAGTAGAACCGAATGTTCATACTGTGAGGAAAGAAGCAAAGCAGTTAAGAAATGCTGCAATTGTATTACTGCTAGAATTGCAATACAACAGAGATAATGAAAGAGAAAACTGTCTCCTGCTGGCAAGGCAAGAAGCTATCTCTGAATTTTCAAAGTATTCAGTTTCAATTGAGTTCTGGTATATCAGGAATAAAAGGAAAAAATAAAAAAAGAATGGAAAAGAATGGAAATATTCTAGCAAAATCCCTGCCAAGCTTTAGTTTAAATATATACTTTTAATGCACTATTACCCTATTTTTCTGTCTGAAACATATCACAACACTCAGCAAACAGGCACACTACACTTTTTACACAGCAACCAATATAAGTTACACTGTGTGTGTGTGTCTCTATATAGAGACACATACATACATATATGTATGTGTAGGTATGTAGGTATGTCATGTATGTATATAAAATAAACCAAAGCAGATCTACAGCCCCAAGTAGATGCATTCACGTTCTGAGTGATCAGCCTGAACACACATAACTTCATTTGGATACAAATACCTTTGAGCGTTATCTCCAGTCCCAAATTAGGTGGCTACTTARAACTAGCACCAGTTTTGGCTACTGATGAAAGGCGCTGTCCTGAAGACTTGTCACTGCCAGCTTCTCCTTTCCAGCACTACGCTTGTGTCAGCACCAGAGACATGAACTGGATACGGGGCTCTGCCACAATTCTGAGTCGCAGAGCCGTTGAGCCTCCCGCAAGCTCTAGTGGACTCGACAGRCACAGTAGATGTGGAAAGCTTTGCCTGTATTCTTGGTACCCAGAGCCTCTGTGGGCATCACAGGGATGATTCCCCCTCCCTGAATAGGCTGGAAAAGATAACATCTTTAATGTTCAAGTAACAGCAAGGTGACTCTACAAACAGCTGTGCTCTTGGAGATGCTGTCAAACACGGATGAAAGTCACAGCTACCCCAGGCTCTCCAAAAGAGAGGGGATTAAGGGACTGCCTGAGGGAAAGGAAGAAAATCATCCAGCTAGCTAGCTGCACCACTTAAACTGCTCATAGTCACACCAGTGAAACCACAACCTGCTTTGTCATTCACATACTTGATTTTGGCTAAGCAGAGAATGTTAAAATATTTTCTACTACTATGAGGATGTTAAGCTCCTGTTGGAGGGAGATGATGCTTTCTGTCAAAGTGCTATGAAGACCTCAAATTTCTTTGCTTTGTCTTTTCCATCACAGGCTCACATCAACTCCTGCACATCTTCCATCACCAGATGAACAATTTGTCTCCTTACTTTTGCATCAGGCATTAGCAAAAGCAGTAATTTATCYGTCTGTCCAGTTCTACTGCATTAGTCTAAGCACCAGGAACATCTGTGCTGCAATTCAGGAAAAAAAAAAAAAGTTGCACAAACACTGTAATCTGTGATGTAAAACTGCTTTTTGACAACCCCGTTGCTGGTGCTTAGTTTCCAACACCACTGCACAAGAGCCCTCTTCATTTCCTAGGGTTGCTATAACAACAAGCAGAGGTCTGTCATTTTGCTAAGTAACAACAAGGACAAATACGTGAGAAATGTAAAGGTCTGGAGAATGGGGGGGCAAGATTACAGCTTCTCCTGCCTTTACAGAACATKTTGCTGCGGATTCATCTGACAAATCCTAAGCTGTTCCTATGGGAACATGAGGAATAGCTAGTGCTAGTGCTGTACGCAGCCTCGTTTTTCAGAAAGTCAGTGTTTTTCTCATGGATGCTTTGTCAAGGAATAGCACTGGCATTAGTAATCAAGGATACAGGATGGGGTCTTGAGCTCACACGTGGCTGCTAAAAATCTGAAATGTATCCTGACTTTAGACTCTGCCAGAACAGTAATGCTGCATGATAATCTTTTTGCTTTAGTAAATTACAAGGGGAGCAGCAAAGACGCCATTTTATTAAACCAATAAGATCATGAACAGTTGGCTCAGTAAGTAGTCAGAGAACTATGAGCTGAATAATTCTTCTGTTAAAAGAATGGTATTTTCTTCTTAATAGAGTCATGATTATCACCTAGGACATTACAAAGGTGACGAGTGCCATTCTTACCATTTTACTTTAAAAGCTGGTTTCTACGGTGATTTTCTTTGGATTTACAGATTTTGATTTAAAAGAGGACTTAATGTTATCTGTTTTTTCTTCCAGGCTGGGGAGAGGTAGTCTTTTAGTGTACAAAGACAAACCACCATTTTCCTTTTACATGTTCTCCAAATTAAGAATTCTCTTTTCTTGAGTGCCACTTTGAGCACATACACATTTGCCCTTTGCTGCATCCCTAAATCACAATAACCAAATCTACAAGTTCTACTTGTACAATCTACCCATGGAAAGCAGTCATCACCTCATGAGCTTCTAACTTTCTTCAAATCATCACGTGCACAATGGCTGTTCAGCAACTGTAGTCTCCAAAAGAGATTATTGTAACTGTAACCCCAGCAAAATACTGTCAGTCTTGCACTTCCTTGAGGTAAATTGGAAACATCTCTGATCATCCCGTATTCCTCCCTTTTGGGCTTGGCACAGATCCTGCACAGCTCCTGGAACCTCTCAGTCCCAGAAGGGACAGGCTCATATCCACACTGATCTGGTCACCACCTCTCCTGCAGGACCTTCTGCTGCTATAAGGTCTCTCATTTCAATYCTGCTTCAGAGCTTTTAAAAGCAGAACCCCTGCCCGGAGATCCCCATTTCCACATCTGCCTTGAGGCTTTTTATGCCAGTACAGGATAAAAGTGATCACTAATCCAAATTTCATCTAACAACATAATTCACAAACCATAATAAAATCACAGTTTCTAACGACCACTAATAAAGATTTACTATGACTACATAGTACTTACGTATCCCTTTCAAAGGGCCGAAACGTTTAATGATAAATGAGRCAAAAAAAGAATTAAAAATCATACTTTTTAAACGTGCATTTTATACAACATACCATTTGTTTTAMAGCAGAACTGGATTGCAATGGGACTGAACAAAATGAGTAAATTAGGGCATGCTTGAATAGTAGTAGGGAAAGTGCACTGCTGTAAAATTCAATGACAGCCTGAGACCCATCTGCGTCTTAACTACCTAAAACACCTCTTTGGAAAAAAAAAGGGTCTCAAGTGCTTATTGGAATCAACTAGTATTTAGGAAATGGATATAGTTTTTAGCAATTAATCTACTTATATGAAATAGTTRTTTTCACTTTACAGAAAAATTTGAAATTGCATAATGAAACACATTCCATGAGATAAGACAATGCAAAGGATAGAAAGGAGAAAATAGACACTTGCRAGAGGGTAGAATATTCCACTATGTTCCACTAAATGTGATACTCATTCCCRCTCCTCTCAATGACCATACAACAAATATCTACAAACACACCACACTCGGGAAATCTCTGATACAGAATGTAGTCYCTCAAAGCAGTTATTTGGATTAGATATCAAAAGGCAATATGGGCCAAGCTCTTGAGAGAGAGAGCTGGTACTTTCTGGAGGAGACATCCAGCACACAACTTTATCACAATTTTAGCAACCATGTAATGTTTGCTGTGTAATGTAATGAAAACAGCAGGCAAATTCTGAGATTTATATAGCCTGAACACTTTTGAGTCTCAAATTCCAAGCTATTTCATGGAGATTTTCACACAATTGCAAACAAAACATTTCATGTACATAAATACACTCTCTTAGGACTGGTAGAACAGACATAATTGGCAAAATACCACACACCTACAAACTAACCACAGTGTCAGATTTGAAAAGTTTGTTCTTACCTGCTGCTGCTTCAGAACTGCTGCTATCTTTAACTATACTAATTGGACTCAGAGGCAAAACCTCATCATCAAAACTGATCAGATCTCCTTCCACATCTGGTTTACTTTGCAAAGCAGGTGATGAGGAGTTGGTTGCCGGTGACTCTCCCAGAGACTTGAAAGCTTTTTCTTGGGCAGATACAGAAAGACGGGGAGCAGCAGTAACTGGTTTAACTGAAGGCAAAGGAAGTGCAGGATTTTCTACAGAACGTGACTTTTTGGGAACAAGTGGCCTTGGAGCGGGAACAGGAAACTTCTTTTGTCCATCACTGTTCTCTGCAACCGACCCACTCCTTGCATCAACAAAATCACTACTAATACTTTTTACAATACCAGGCTTTGTTTTTTTTGGCAATTCAGGTTTAGTTACAGCACTGCTCCCAACTACTTCAGGTTGGGCATGCAATTCCTTGTTAGAAGGTGTTGACTTGCTTTCTGTCCACAAATCCCAATCTCCTGAAACTCTGCTTACACCTGGCTTTGGAGCAACTACTGGTTTCTTTGCAGGTACAGGTCTTGGGGCAAATGATCGTGGAGCAATTTCTGGCTTGTTTGATGATCCTGAGGTATCATTAGTTGCTTGGGATTCAAAAGCTTTGATCCTTGAAACAATACTACTGTGGTTCTTTTCTGCATTCATACTGTCCATTGCCAAAGGATTGTCCAGTAAACTATCATCTAAAGGAGATGACTGCTGAATTGGAGGTTGCTGCCTTCTTGTGGTGGCCTGATTCACTTCTCCATTGTCTGGTACTCTACTTTCAGAATTTTGGACCACAGGTCGAAGATTGCTTTTTGATCTTGGCTTTGGCACAGGACATATCACAGCATTGGGATTTTCTTGGCACCTCTGATTCTCAGAACTTTCAAAGACTATTAAGGGAGTCTCATTTTCKGAAGATGACCTATTCAGGAGAGATGCAGAAGGCCTAGGAGGTTTGAGAGGACCCTGCCCTGCTGAAAAAAAGAAAATGTTTCTGTTATCTGTGCCAGCACACTTTATCCTTTGTCCCCCTTTACAATGCGAAACCTGCTGATTTTTATTCAGAATATACTGCTGCTTATCAAATTTTGCATTTCTCTTTCTAGAAAGAAAGATTAAGAATAACAATTATAGGCAGAAGCTGACGATCATCAAAATGCATGAAATTTATAGACTTTAAGTTCAAAACTACTCATTAGCTCACAGCATAAGCAAAGAACAGCACAGCAACTTCCCCAGTTGAGTTCATACACTTTTCTGTGTGTGTAAAACACTGACTAKAGGCCTGAACTCCTCGGGGTCTGGGTCAAAGCATTTGCCATTATGGCTAAATGGATTGAACTGAGCAAAACTTGAATGATTTTTAAAGTCATAARGACACATATTCTATCTTGATTGCAGAGCAAGCTTCAGTTAAAGTCTAACCTATAGCAGTTATTCTGAAGAAAAGGGCTTTACAGGAATGTACAGAAGTAATCACTCCCATAAATTTTATTGTCATTCATTTTAATTGCTGCAAACATCAGTAACATGCTTCTTCATGAGACAGAGTGAGACTTCTGTCAGTAGAAAATCCAGAAACAGCTCACCTGTATAGTTTGCAGATTCCCAGCGTGCAGGCAGACTGTTTTTTACATTACTTCCTGGAAAACGGCTGATTAGWTCCTCTGGAAAGTCAGTTTGTGTTGCAGAAGTAGTGGTATGTCTAGGAGCAGCAGCATTATTRTTATTGGTTGTATTGACTTGTACTTGATTAATTTCTTTTATCACTTGCTCATAAGATGGTGGTTGCTACAAAACAAAAAGATAGAAAATTAAATATGATCAAAGATGAATATAAAAAAACCCACTTATAATTGAAAAATACTGTATTAACATGTACGGTAGAAGAGAGACCCATCACAGACAATATTGTTTCTCTCTAACTTAAAGTGCTTTTTACCTTTAAAATCGAACACACATCTCATGTAAATACGTGCTCACCTCAGCTGGAATAAGCTCACTTGTTCTCCACTGAGCATGAGACGAAGCAGAAGGGAATCCTAATCCCTGGGGAGTTACAGGGCTTGCACCTGGAAACCAGGAGGACGGCCGGAGGGGTTCAGCAGCAACTATTGTGATTTCAGGACGCCTGGAGATGAAGGCAAAGGGAATAATTAACCAACATGATTTAAAACAGTCATTTTAAATGTAAAAGAGCATGGCTGTCTCAGACTGGGAAATAAGAACAACTCACACTTTTGTGACTTAACCAAAGATACCTCTCACAATTTCAAAGCAATCACCCAACCTATCTATCAAGCACTTAGGCTTCCATTTGAAGTGTCTACTTAAATTTCTAAGCCAAAAAATAGATTTACTGGCTTCAGTAAAATAATTTACTTCATTATCTTTTTTGTTATTTACTTAATTATTAATTACTTAATGCTTAAATACAAGTGTAACAACTGAATGGAACAAGCTTTAGTCTTCATGTGTTTGCCTTTTGCCTGCTACAATGGGAGGACAAGGCAGTTAGAACCACACAACTGTCCTGAGACCTCACTGGGAACACACCACAATCAATCTCTCAARTCTGGCACAAAATATATTTCAAGAAGTGAGCTTTGTGAACAGATGAAGCCATCTGCTACAGAAGCCTCTGGCTGCTAAAAGAAAAACTGATATATATATTTTTTTAAACTATTTTTAAAAAGTGAGAAGAATACAGTTCATTTACTCCTTAAATTATGACAGACTCAGTTCACCAAGTTGGTGACTTCCTTTCTCAACATCCTTTGAAATACCAGGAGGCCTGAAGGTGTCTATTTATTTACACTTTCAAGTAATCCCAAGAATWGAAGTCAGGAAAGTTAATGAAGACGGTTGATTGACTACAGTTAAAAAAGTAATAATARTACTCAGTTAAAAAAATAATAATAATACTAAGATACAAAGCAATTTTGACCAGAAAACTCCTCGAACCCTTAACTTCTCTGTTCTTAACAACCACAATATTTCTGTTTTATTCCAAGTCTAATTAATTTTAAGATAAAAAGGAAAATGAGATGGAAAGAAATAAACTAGAGGAGAAAGTAAGGGATAAAAATAATATTGTGACACCATCTAATGMGTTTTTCRATGATATATAATTGTAATACAAATAACTGCATCATACCTTCTATCCCTCTGCTGCTCACTATGGTTAGAGGTCCGAGAAGCTATTTAAATAGACAAAACAAAAAAAGGTTAAAACATACTATCGTAGCAATAAGATGAGGATAACAACATATCCCTTACCAAGCCACCATAAATGAAACTGAGAACATACAGCATCAGATCATGAATTGCAGATTTTAATAATGGCCATGTTCAAACAAAAATTATTTGTATTAAATATGAAGGGATGTTTTTAAAAGGTTGAGGACACCATTTCATAACCAGCCGAAGTCATTCTACAGACCTAAGGTACCATCAAAACAGATGGACCCATCCCCTTTTTGTTTCCTTGCAATGTGCTCCTGCCTTGTGCCTGGTGGCGACCCTAGAGGTGGAATTCGTTTTTTGGGGGGTTGGGGTTTTTGTTTGTTTGTTTTGTTTGTTTGATTGTTTGGTTTTTGCCTCCCTTAGTTACAATACTCCATCAGTGAAATGGAGAACTGCTAAGCGCATCTGGCTTTGCTTTTGATAGTGCATTTCTGAGATGTGTTATCTCTTTTTTGGGAGGAAAAATAAAGTTCTTTTTTTTTTAAAAAAAGAAATAAAAGCACCAAGGCACAAAATTTAAAATATTTTTCACCTTACATAAAATGGAAGATATGTAAATAATTGCCTTCTTTCACATCATATATCCTCAGACAAAATGTAGTCACTTGCAGATTGGGAATCACCAACATTTTTTTTCTTTTTTTCCAAACCACTGTTTTAAATGACATGACATAAATAACTCCTGACCTCTTCATRTTTTATTTTTGCCATATTTATATTCAAATAATTTTTTTCAATGGCCACATTAGCTTTTGACTTTGATTGGGGGGAAAAAAAAGGTCATTAGTTGAGGGACACAATTTTGCATAGCAAATGCAATTTAGGAAGTGGTAGAGTCTTATTGCGCCCAAGCTGACACCTGAGCTGTTCCTGCACCATCAGGGAACCAGAGCTGAAACCGGCAAAGCTTGTACTTGATCTCAGAGCCGCACAGCGCTGTGTCAGACATACCTCTTCCACGGGGCATTTTTGATGTGCACTATTCATGAGTGCTAGAGGAAAAAAAGAAGGGGTTACAGAAGAGGAAGAAGAGGTGAAAAAGAAGAAGAACAAACSAAGGCTTCAGAGTGACAGAAAACATGATCAAATGGGTTAGTTGCACAAGGAGAGCGCGCATGCCAGTGTCCTAGATGGGCAACTGTAGTGCTCATTCACAATAGAGTGGCTTAAAAAAGACACTATATATCACATATATGTGATATCACACAGATATCACATACCCCTCATTTGGGAATGGAGGAAGAAAGCCTTCCTCTTCAAGTTCATCTTTGCAAGAAGATGGAAGAAAATGTTCGTTTGGTAAACATTAACACAACTGCTTGGGGTACATCCAAATTGCAATCAYAAGGGCATTAGAGATGAAAACCAGTTAGGGATGGACATACAACTGAACTGGACCTGTCAACTTCTTTCATGTTGTCTTCATTGCTACATAAATTCTACGTGCTATTTTGTAGGACTTGAAAGTACTTCTATTTAAGATAATAATATAAACAAACAAMCAAATAAAAATGTCCAAAAGACCTTTCTTCTTACTGGCCAGGGGCAGAAAACTGCAGTGGGGCATACAGATCTAGAGTAATCCTCACCAAATCTCAAGTAAGGAGGGAAACTCACCTGAAATTATCATCACTTAGAATATTTCTATAAAAATAATTTTACTAGTGGATATGCATATCAAATATGTCTTTTCAAAAGGGTTAACTCTTAAGCCATGATGTACATTTTGACATGGAATCTTTTTTTCTTAAAGCAATAGATTCCATGTCAAAATGTACTTTTTTTTTTCTTAAAGCAATAAAGTCTTACAGATATTTACGGAATTAATTACAGAATTAATTATCTGTAATATCTTACAGATATTTACAGAATATAATTTTGCATGTATGTAAATATTTAGTACAAATACCAATWTCTTAAGGAACTTGATTAAATTGTTCACTCCTCCCCTCCATCAATCTCTCTTTTTTGCTTTTGCATTGYTGTTACAATCTTAGGAACCTCAAGTATGGCCCTTCATGCTTTTAGTGCATCTTTTGTTTTAGAAGATTTTAAATCTCCACAGAGGAGCAAAGGTGAAAGTCATTCCATCTTCTGCACTCCAGTATTTCCTTGAGTTCAACAAATGTTAGGAAAAACAAAACATGAACTGTCAAAACAACCCTTGCCTCCTGGCTTGAACAGCTTTTATTTCTTTACCATTTCAAGGAAAAGAATTTAAATTAAAAAAGCATTTGAGAAAAGACATGAATTTTACATATACAGCATGCATCTGATTAAAAACAGAGGTCATCTTTCTGGCCTTGTTACAGGCCTTCAATACTGTTAAGCCTATTCTCCATTCCCTTCATGCTCCTCAGGAAAAAAATTACCCATGGAATTCAAATTTTATTCCCAGATTGCAAATTAAGACACCTTTAAGACATTAAAAAAAAAAAAAAAAAAAAAAGAAGCTCAGAGATCAGCAACAATGTATTTTAGCCCTAAGTTACATATGACTAGCTAAGGCAGTCACCTCCTCAACTTCCATACTAGAAATTCTTAGGGTCAGAAGCATTGGGAATTTCAGAAACATATATTTATAGGTTTTTAAGAGAAAGGTAAGCAAAGCAGTTAAAGTGGGGATAGACGTGGAAAAAACCAACCTATACAACTCATGCTTTTTTACTTTGTAACTTTATTTATCTCAGGGAAAGAAGGGGGAAAAAAAAAATTCAAATCAGCTTGTAAAAAAAGTCAAATCAGCATTTTCACTAGAACTTCTACAGAAGTGCCAAGGAAGTATCCCTATGTGTTCAGTCTAACAATAGAGAATTTATTACCCCACCTGCAATTCTAAGTAAAGGATTGATGATAAGAAGAGCAAATAAATAGCCAGTATTTCTTACAAATAGTACTTCCTGGGCAATAACTTTTTTTTTTTTTTTTTTTTTTTTTTTTTTTAATGTTTAATAGCAAAGGGGTTTGTATGATACACTTAGGTTTGGGGATGTTTTTCTTCTGTTTCTCTTCTGGGCAGCAGGCACTGTTCTCCTCCGGGCAGTGTTAATATTGAAACACACACAGATTATGAGGCATGAGACATTTTAAGCTAAGACACTTGAAAGCAAATGAAATACCGTTTTGTTGCTGTATATTCACTGTTTTAAGAGCAAGATTCACTTCTCATCAAAGATTGGAATCTTATCCTCAAACAGCCCAAACTTTCCTCACACTTTTACTATTATTCCTCCCAGCAGCTGTAAATGTAGTCCTGCAATTAACTATCTCAGTTAATTTATGCTGCTATAGGTAGGTTTTAAAGTTAAATTATTTTATGCAAGACAAGTATGTGCTAGTATTTTTAAAAAACAGCTTCTTTCAGGATTTTTTTTTAACACTGGTCTGGATATTTCTACCATTAGTCCAATAAAATATGCAGAACACTAGATCAAGAAGTTATTCTTCTCATTGTATATCCACCTCAGAATAAAATCTAACCATTACAGTACCTAGTAGGCAAACAAAGAATGAAACATTATTTCTGCTCCTGCTTTTGCCTACAAACTAATATACCTGAAGAGTTGATAGAAAGGGTCTAAGTAACAGACCATGCTTATTGTCTTTGCAGTGCTGAACATGTCATTTATCTACAAGGACAGCTTCTTCAGAAAAAGCTAAATGGCTATGGTACCCCTCAAGCTAAAACCAAAAATTAAACCAACAAAAACAAGCCAAGTTGTGGCTGGACAATTTATACAGAGAGACAGTTTCGGAGAAACTGGAAATTTTCACAGCACTGTGGAAAGCAGCAGCACTCAAGCTTTTCTCCTGAACTGCTTCTTGGCACAAGGGGGAGGTCTTGCTCCTTTTCTCTTCACTCCACTTCCAGGCACCTCAGGGAAGTAGGAGGGTTGCTGACATTATAGCTAGGCTGATTTAATTAAAGCTTAGATGTAGCTATAAGAGATGGCACCACCCAATCCTCTTTCCAATCACTGACTTTTGCCGTCTCCCTTGAACCAACATTAACACTCACCTGACCCCAGAGTCAGCTAGTTCAGAGTGTTAAATACACATAAAACTAAGCACTTCCCACAAGGTTAGTTTTGGTCATTTTGCCTCCCTGAACCTGCTTCCCTTGGGTCTGAACCGCCAGCAGCAAAGGGAGGCAATGTGCCACCCTCAACAGCAGTCTCCATTTCCTGCCTCCCACTATCATTACTACTATTATTACTATCAAATCTGCATATCCACACCCCAAGAGCAAGCCTGCCATTTTGCACAAATTAGAGAGCAGTTATTAACCACGGCAGGTGACTCCTCACCTCGCGTCAGCTTGGGTTGCCTGCGTGGCCTCTGCTCCCCTCCCTGCATTTTGCCAGCCCCAGGGCCTGTGCAGACGGGAAAGTGTGAGCTCACCTCACAGATCTGGTGGGGGGCCAAAGGAAACCCCAAGCAAAACAAAACGGAAAAACAACGAAAACTCACTGCCAAAACCAGCTGCACAACTGCCAAGTGGAAAGCCGCAGACTCGGAGCACGTCCTGCGGTCTGCAAGAGATTCTCTTATGCATTCTTCTGCCACAGATTTGCTTAGGGCAGAACGAGAACAGAACAAACTTGCAGCTTCTTCCAGCACTTTGTGGCAGCAGATTTGCTCCCCAATGCCACCTTACAGTGGAAAACAGCGCAAGCACCATTCCCTTTGGCTCACCACTGCAGCATTTGGCTCACCTCTTTCTCCTTTGCCATCAGTGTGCATGATGCTCTCCCTTAAATCAACGGCAATAGTTCCACTGGCTTCAGTGGGAGCTGGCTTTAGTGGTGTGCCCTTTGCACTGAATATTTTCTGTATAGTGCACTCAAACAGCCCGGTGGGGAGGCCTCCTATCACTATATGCAATAGACATAGTCTTCTCTTAATGCAAGCTACTAGAGCAAGTACAGTGACCTGCACAGAGGCCAGTAAGGACAAAAAGGAAGCAAGGACAAAGGCTACCTTTTCATGTGACACCTTCAGTCTTACTTCATAACATCATACCTCTTTTTTTCTTTTTCCCCCTCCTATTTGTCTCAGGAAGATGAATTCTGCCAAGTTGTCAAAGAATTGAAACTAGTTGTTACCACATCTTTCTATCCACAGTTGTGAGAGTGACAGAAAAGAAAATAACCTATCTTCTTCTTTGGTCACAAGAGAGGAAGACACCATTTTAAGCATTGTCCATAGTTTGGAATATCGAAACTCTGCAAATATCTATATCAAAAAACAGAGTTAAATAGCCCACAATACATTTCTAACTCTATTATGAAAAAAGGTACTTCCTTGAAATACTACACTTTATTCAGATCAACAGCAAGGAGATTTAGGAATTTTTCAGAGTCCATTTTTACTTTAGATCTCTCCACAGATATGGTTACTAGCGCACACACAGAGTCTTCCTGCACCCTGTCTCAACACATACAGGGAGTTTTCTTCCTGCTTATCATCTGAGTAATTCACGTGGCATTTATATATTATCCTAGTTATTCACATATCATAGCTACTCACCTACTAATATTATTACATACAATAAGATCCATGAGCTTCTTGAGTAGACACAGTTTTAGCTGATTGTGCCTCAAAACAAGGTATCACTTGTTACTATGTTTTCAAAAGCATTAAAATCATTGGTTTAATGATCTTTTCTACTATTTCACAGTTATATCAGAGACTGAGGTGTAAGGAGTCTAGAATTAGTTCTCAACTCCACCATAAAAGGCCTTTGTGATCTGGTGCTCTTTTCCAGTTTCCTATGCAGGGCAGCAATAGCACACAAAGTACTGCACTTCAACTACAGCATCATATAGGCTTGCTCTGAATAAAGCTTTTGTGACCCCTTTGACTCCCTCCAACCCAACCCCTACTAATAAGCCCCAGGTTCGGAAGAAAGAGATCAACTGTTCATACACTAACGCCCTTTTCCCCTCCACAGCAAAATAGTCAGAGTTGTTCTCCTGGTATGAAATTGAAAACATGGGCAGAAATGAAATAAAAATGAAAAGGGGAATAAAGAAAAAGCACACTTTGGAGGATGCAGATAAAGAAATTCTCTGACTGGAAATATGATTAGGGAGAGAGAAAGTGTTGATAAAAATGAAATCAGGGAATTTCATTCAAAATTTATAAACTTTTTTTTTTCTTAAACTTTCCAAAATGAGCCCAGTGTATGAATCTAATTCAGTCCCCAGTGGAGCCAATGAACAGCTGCTGGAGATTTCTTCTGAAATGGAACAAGCTTCTGTTTTATCAAGTGTACTAAGACTGGGTATGTACAACCCAGCACCAGACATACTCACTTCAGTACTACTGGACAAGTAATAAAATGTTAGTAATAGGCAGGAACAGCCCATTGGCAAAAAAATTAAATAAAGTAAAATAAAGAGAAAGTGCCAAAAGAGCCTGTCAGCTATTATCTTTTCACATATAAGGTTTAGCAGTTCACCTAAAAATGAAGATGGAATAATCTTTAAAATATTATAATTCTAAAGAAGTAGAGGGAAAAATAGACTTACATCTCTTGATTGCTGCTCTTATGGATGACAAGGGTCCTTGGCTTAAAGAAAAAAAAAAGTTACAATGCAGTTAATGTCTCAAAGAGAAAACAGCTGAGTAATATCACACAGAGATTCCCTGCACACTGTACAGTACTTGCCAAGATCATTTTTCCCCAAGGTTATCTTACACAAATGTGTGCAAAACCCCTAGAGTATACAACTGTTCTCAGTCCAAGAGCAGTTGAAAACCAGGACTCAGCTTTCCTTCCATCTCTACAAGGATTGAAACCTATGTTAATAACCACTTGTTCTCCTGGTTGGGTGCTGAAGTTCATATCCTGCCTCATTTGAATGGAAGACTTGGAAAACAGCCCTTCTTTATGTATTTCTCAGATTATTTGGTATCTAATGACTTAAGATTCTTGTAAATTAACAAAACTTGCACAATCTACATCTGATTTGCTAAATATTTTTAACAATTACTTAACAATTTATCTTCACTTTCCATGGAAGTTGCATTTTCATTAATGACTTGGTGGGTGAGGCTAGTTGGGAAGACAATGTGAGAAAAAATTTGTTGATAAACAAAGACAGAAAAATGCTTCCTTTGGCTAAATCATCTGTTTACTTGGCAGGACGAAGATTTCTGATGCTGCTTTTCTGAAAGTCTTATTTAACCCAGACAGAGCAGCCATTGCTATTTTTGCAGGTTAAAAACCAAAAACAATTTGGGATTATCATTCTCAAAAAGCGTGAGTGTGATATTAATAACCTGCCACATACACAAAGCTACTGAGGAGCTCCAAAACAAAAACAAACAAAAAAACCCTAAGCAAAACCCTTCAGCAGGGGCGTTTTTTTAAGCACAAAAGATAGAGCATACTTGCTGGTGAGAAGTCCTTAAAAGTGCCAAATAATCTTTAAAGGCTAAAACTAAACAGACCAGAGCTGTTTCACATTACTAGGGAATCTTTTACACAACAGCAAGGCACAGGAGCAAGGCTGGTGGAGGCCTGAGCATTTTAGCACGGAGCATTTTAGCGGCGGCGCCAATGGCGTGAAGCTGCCGCTTCATCCATCGGGCCCGCTTGGCTCCATATGCACTTCCGTGGCTAAGGCTGACRACTACAGTTACACCAGATGGGTGGAGAGGAGGGGATTTGGAGGAGAGGGAAGAGGCGGCAGTGAGAACCACTGTTAAAAAGTCACAAAGGGATGGGAATGTCCTCCCTTTCAGCCGTTCTGAAAAAGTACTGAGGAGCAGAAATGAATGTGGCTCTCACTGAGCTGCTCTCTGAAATACGTTGGCCGGTCTAGGATAAACAAAGCCTATTTGTCTGGCTTCAGAAACAGGTCAAAAGCGGCTTGGCCCCCGTCCACCCCACAGCAAAAATTGTAGTAGAAAACATTGCTATCAGTCATGTTTCACTGTGCATTCTCAGCAGAAAAGGAATCTTATTTTCCTTCCAAATGTCCCATTATAATACAGCATTATCTTCAAAAACCCTTTGATTTGTATGTTTTTCCCCAATATGGGGTCATATTCCATTTTTCTTTCCGTATAACTAAGGTCTACTCACTTGGGATGTTCATTTTCAGCTCTTTTTCATTCTTTAATTGCTGTAAATAACAGCAATATGAAGGGTTTTAATAAAAAGAATACATTCTTTAATTATACTTAATACTAGACAGCAAGGAATGTCAAGTTTTGCAATAAGAACTGCAAATGTTTTGGAACAATTACTTTCTATACCCAAACATCAAGATTGACTTGATTTTTTGCAGTAAGAAAGCAGGAAATCTATAAAATACACACTCTTAAGTATCCGCAAGAATCAAAGGGAACAGGAGAGTTCTTCCAGCTGGCAAGATCCTTTCCAACTGCAGCAGTTTGCCTTAATGTGATACACACTTCTCTGAGATAAGCAGGTATTTGGGGATGGAAATCACAGGAGTCTTCAYGCACACATAGTTTTCCATACAACACAAGGGACCAAAAGGTACAGAAAGGTTTTTAAAATCAAAGGCATTGCAGGCATATGCCAAATCCTTCATGAAACCAACCTGGGTAAATAGAAGTATCAATTTATGAAGATCAAGGCCGTGCAAGTTTGCAGTTCCAGGTGTATTTGAGAACCCAGGATAACCTAGTTGCTACAAAACTTATGATCTCACAGGCAAAACGAGTTGTTACCTGWTTTTTTTCCTGCTTTTCATTAATAAGACACCATCAACACCCTTCTCTTGCAGTAAAGGACTGCTTTTCCTATTCCAAGACACTTTGATTCACATTTAACGTACAATTATTGTTATGTATTACCTAAGTCTTTTTTTAAAAAAGCAAAWAGGGTGTGAACTTAGATTTTTTAAAATTTATTTTTGTAATGAAATCCTGAAAGGAAAAAGCACATTCCTAACTTTATTACCAACAATTTCTCCCTGCCCACTTTAAAAAGAGACATGGTAGGCTGTGATTTTGCCCAGTTACCTGAGCAAACTCTTCCCTGTTCCACAGGCAACAATTTCTGGCCTCTTTTCTTGTCTTGCCTGAAGAGCAGAGATAAGGTTGCCCCACATCGTCCTCTGCCCCAAAGTTAACAGGCACCTTCTCTCTCAGGCCCTCCAAATAACTGACATAACCCCATGAGCTCTGACAATCCTGTGGCAGCGGCAGTAACTCTGCTAGATGGAGCCTCCTGCTCCTCCTGCTGCAGGTGTGAGCATCAGCACACACAAAACTCCCCGGCACCGTGCTCGAGTGCAGCTACAAACTCTACTTGCTGCAAGGAAACAGGGCAGATGGTGGGAAGTTAAGGGAGTTAACACCCTTAAAGACCCTGATTAGCTCAAACGCCATCCCAGCCATCCCTAATGCAGAAAAAGCAAAGATGCAAACTCTCTGTATGTGCCCGCTGCTATGTACCATACAATGAGCAAACCATGAGCAGCTCCCCTCACGTGGGCACATCCAGCCTGTCTCCCTCACTGTTTGTTCCAAGCACTCGGCTCTGTAACATTTCCAAGTAAGGCAGCAAGTTTTTCATGAGTTATCACTTCCCAGCCCTCCACAGGGGGAATCAACCATCTCCACAGGCTCTCTGCCAGCTAAACACAGGCTCACTAGGTTCAGGAGGGGTCGGTGACCTGCTCCTGCTCTGTGTGCCTCTCTGAAAGCAGCCAGTAACACCACGAGGGTCCCCTCAGCCACCCTTTCTGAGAGACAAACCCTGGAGTGGTTTGTTTGAAGACTCACTCACTCGCTCTTCCTGGCCAGCTTTGTTCTGCCTTTCAAGGACAGATTTTCTAAACATAAACACTTGAGGAAAATGCTTCAAAAGTGCTTTTTAACCTCATGCATCAGAGAAATAAAACTGTGTCAAACTAGATGAGGCTAAGAACAGTAAACTATTCCTTGGAGGAAGGGCAACTCCTGCATACTAAACAGGCTTGTCCCTCCTTAGGGGTTATTCCCAAATACTCCTGTTTGCACTGAGCTAGGAATCTTGCAAGGCTCCAAGGTTCTGGACTACCTTTTCATCCCCATACCTGAGAATACACTGAAGCATTAACTGCAAAGTCTCTAAAAAATTACTCATCATGTCATGTTATGTAGTCCTGTGTACAGACTTTGTCTTACGCAAACAGCCTAAAAAAAAATTAAAATGTTGCTATTTCTAAGAAGTCTTGTGATTTTTTAAAACGTGAGCCAAGAATCCTTAAACAGCTGTTGTTGACATTACTGTGAGGCAAAATATTCATTTAACAAAAGGCATGACATATTCCTCCATTACTTTAGAAATTTTGCCACCTTTATCATAAAGTCACTGGACTACCACGCAGTATTTCTAAGACTTATTAGAAAACCATTGATACTATTTAGAAAACATCATGTCAAACATAGAATGTTTGAAATATCATCTAAATGATTAAACTGCTTACTGAATTTAAAACAAAACACAATTTTAAAGTTAATTTAAGGGTGGTGCAAAAGATGAAATTTACTATCACCCAGACAACAGATCTATTAGTTCTACCAAAAGCCTTCAAACTTCAGTACAGGCCCGACAACCATCCCATTTTCATGGCATGGATGCAGTAAACAGAATGATATTAATTTTGTGGATTAATTAAGTGTAGCTACACTGAAAAAATTACGTTAATGCACCATGATAAGTCTCGTCAATGGCTCAGCTGCAGAAGGCTTTCAGGCCTTTCAGTGCTCTAATGCACAAATATCATGCACAAATTAGATTAAGTGAGGCATCAAGTCAAGATGCCATCTCCCCATCTGTGCAGAGCAAACCGAGACCGTGCAGCTGGCAGCCCCACCTTCCCACACGCACCATTTCCAGCAGCTCCCTCATGCTGCTGCTGACGTGGCCACAGGTCAGCTGGATCAATTGCATAATTTTGATAGTAACAAACAACCTGTCCCCAAATATCTCAATTCATTTTCAGACAGACAGGCAGGCTGGTCTAGGCAGCTGCAGAGCCACATGAGCACGAYGGTGACGTGAGAGAGGCAGCAGGAACGGGCAGCCAGGGATGTGGGAAGCAGCCCTGTCTCCGCTCACAAGGACAAACTTGTAGCCTGGCTACAAATCACCAAATCCTGGCTGCGCCTCAGGCTGGCTGCTCTTTCACCCTTCAGCATGGGCCGATTCCCCGCTGCAGCTCTTGCTGCTGCTGCTGTTGGCTGCCCAGCCTGGCTCCCTGCGAGAGCAGACAAGCACTGGGAAGCGCAGCGGGCAGCAGCCGTGCGCCCCAGCGGCAGCGAGACGCGGCCTCGCGCTCCCCGCCGAGCGGCCGGTGCCGTCACGGCCCGGCCTGCACAAAAGGCCAACAGAACCGGGCACCTCGGAAACTGCAGCAGCACAGACCTGGTTATCTAGGAAATCTGATTCGCCCTGCTTTAATCTGGCTTCTCTCTTGGGTCCAGCCCCAAAAGCGAGCAATCCTGAGCCACTAATTAAGTGCAGTGACAATTCCAGCCTCATCACTATGCTGAGGCTGCCTACTTGTCCATCACCAGCGCCACAACTGTGACTTCCAGC